CTTGACTAAATTTAGTCATTTTATTTATTCTGAATTATTATTCATATGCAAATTTAGTCATTCATCATTCATTATGCAAATTTTTAAATAATGATTGATGAATAAATTCATTAGTCTAGTGTAGGCATGGCGAACCAATGGCACGCGTGCTATTTATGGCACGCCACATAATATTTTGGGCACGCCACCGATCACGAAGTTCACTGTGAAGCAATTTACCCATTAAATTAAAATTCACAAAAACAAACATAAAAAAAATAAACAATTATTAACAAAAAAATTACAATTAATGCCAAAAAACAATTAATTACCCTAAAAAACAAGCAGACAATAAATAACTAGCAAAAAAACCTTAACAGACCTGCTTAAAATAACATCTTACAACCTAATATAAGTTATTTGTCATCCAATCTGCAACAACAAAAGTCACACTGATGTTACTTTAAGTTGAATTACGCCTATAACTGAGACATTGCGAAATGTATTCTTTTTCATAGTAAATAAAGAGTTTTGAGTTGATAGTATTTAGTGTTATTATTTTCCCAATAATCATGAAGTCAAAATTGTTTGACGGCACGTCTATGACCAAATTAAACAATTTTTTAGAAAAAATGGCACGTTGGTGCATAAAGGTTCGCCACCCCTGGTCTAGTGGCTAATGAATTTACAATGTGACTAATTTTTCATTAATACAGCGAATGACATAGTGACTAATTTTTCTGATTAAAATTTTGAATAACCAGCAAAAAATGCAAGCATTGTGTTATTTTCATTGCAAGTTGAGCGTCGATTACGGAAATCAGTTGCAAATGTAATTAATTATAGATAATGATTGCTTACCAATTAACAACTTGCAATGATCATGATTACAAGTAATCACGGAAGCAAATAATTATTATATCTCATTACAAGCGGTTATGATTATTTATTATGACAACAAAAAGTGATTACAGGTAATCAGAATTACAAATAATCAAGCAATGGAATATCAAGCCATCGTGACTACTTGTTATCATAAAGTAAGATTACAAGAAACCATAGCAACAAGTTATCATAATCTAACAATTACAGGTAGTCTTAAATTCACTGAATAGATAGATATATTCAAAATATTTCTGACTAATGTATAAATCTTTATTCATTATTCAGGAAGATTTTGAATAATTATTCATAATTCTTTATTCATTATTCTGAATGGCAAATGCCCATCTCTGATTTGCGGCAAGGGTATTCTACCACTGAGAACCTTTCATATCAACACTGAGGTCGAAGCTATTCGGGAGCAGAATTCGTATCGACGAGCCATTATTGGAATGCGAGCATGGGCCACCTCATTGGTAGGCGAGCTCTATCACCCAAATAGGATTGTCTATAGTGGTAACTTCAGCTTTTAAAATTATTACTCTTTATACAAAATTGAATAAGGGTTGATTATGAATGTCATAAAAAAAATAATCCCCACAACATCATCGTCTTTCTTTGACTCGTATACTTTTCGTTTCTCTAATTTAAACATAATTAAGATATTACAAAATAATTTGACAGAAATGAAACAAAATAATTTAACAGAGAGGGTAAATAAGTTTTTAGTTTCAAAACCATCGAATAGACTCGACGAATGTGGAGAAACCATCAACATTTAAGTAATGGATAGTTCTTTCTGTGAATGCAGACTTTATTTCTTCCGCTTTTATTTGTTTCTTTGCTTTGACTGAGCACAATATTTTTATTAATGGGTTCTCGCTTCCAGACCTTTAACGAGACTTCGAAACTACAGTGGTCATTTTTTCGGGGAATTTGTTTTGCTCTAATTCTGGGTCAAGCAATTTATGCTGATGCTTCTTTTAACTCATCTTATTTCAAAATCCATCTGCGTATCTATGTTGTTTTTTTACGTTTACAGTGTGTCAACTTCTTCAAATTATTATTTCTTCACGTTGTTAATTTCAAAATAATAAACCTTATTGAGTCGGAAAACCAATTACGTCTGGAGATTAAACACCCACCCTTCCATGACAATTATCAGCTTGTGGGGGTAGCTAGACGATAGGATAGGAATTCTCTCTGTGTCTATTAGTAGAATCAAAACTGTGGACTTTTAAGAATAAAATTACTGACAAAAGCAAGAATGAAACATGCAACGCCAACATTTAATTTTATTTTAGAACGAGACTGTTTTGGATGTACTTTAATAAATAAAAGAATATTTTATTTCCTAAGTTTTTAATTGATGAGATTCCCCAGACAGTGGGCACGACCTTAAATGTGGTAGGTAATTTTCTAATCAAGTTTTTTTTATAGATTCTGAGAGTGATATTCTATGAGTGCTCGGAATCTCCAATGATGCACAAATCCTGAAAAGCAGAAATTGAGTCAGTGAAGAGAAAGTTGTCATTATTAAATGACGTCTGTGGTTGGACTTTTTCTTCCTCTTCAGTGTAACCACACAGTAATATCAAAATTCTTTACACTATAAAACATGTCATTCATTAAAATACATATTTAAAAATTATATATATATATA